CTAAACATGACGTCATCCACCCCCGAACGTTTCCGCCGTTCCGGTTTGGGGGTGTGACAGATTGGTATCAGAGCTCTTGTTTATAATGAACTAAGTATACCGAACCTTACATGGTATACAACTATAAACACTAAGGGGCTGAAGTGCTCTGAACTAAAAGTGTACTTTTAAAATATAAGTATTTTATAAAAAGTATACAAGTATAAATACATAACAGAACCAGAGTCATAGGTAGAACAAAACAAAAGTATTTGGATGTTGGACACTGTGGTTAAACCGGGGCAGTTATGTAATCATGCCTAGGGTCAATATAGCCTGATCAACTATATTTATTCGAGACATGACCAACATGTGCTTGGGAGTGACTCTGGTGTTGCAGCAAACCTAAAACTTACCAAGTATATATACATCAGATACCGGTAGAACAAAACATACAACTTAAAATACTATAGGAGTATTTTAGCCAGAGCCGAATACAGTATAGAGAATTCATTCCAAGTGTTGCTACATATTTCCTCTTAGCGATAGTTACTTTCATTAGTAACCCTTATCTATTTATCGCTTCGTAGAACACTTTATCTATCAGGCTGAGATATATTTTGTATTATATCTCCTGATTCTAAAATTCTAGAGGACTTACCATCCTCTTATTCCTGGTTATTTTAGAACAAGATGCCTCCCCGAAGAAGACCCATCAGAAGGAAAAACGACCCTCCGCCACCATCGCCTCCTCAGTTCGACCCAGCTATGTTTCAGGCAGCAGTTACGGCTGCTGTGGGTACGGCGATGTCGCAGATTAACCAGGGAAGCTCTGGTGGATCTGGAGGTGGGCCCGATACTCAAAGTCATGATGGATGATAGGGACACCAAAAGGAGTGTTCCTATAAAGACTTCATGAATGCCAAACCCAAGTCCTTCGATGGCAATGGTGGAGTCATTTCCTTAACTCGATGGTTCGAGAAGATCGAATCCATCTTCGAAATTTGTTCCTGTTCCGAAGCCACCAAGGTGAAATTCACCGCTTGCACTTTCACCGACAGAGCACTGACCTGGTGGAATGGTCGTGTCAAATCCCTAACCTTGCCAGTTGCAAATGTCATGGGTTGGGAGAGCCTAAAAGAACTCATGCTGGTTGAGTACTGCCCGAGGGGCAAGATACAAAAGTTAGAGCACGAGCTCTGGACCCTGAAGATGAAGGGTTCCGACATTGCTGCCTACACCGCTAGATTCTGTGATCTGGCTCTCCTCTGTCCGTGAATGGTCACCCCGGAAAGCAACAAAATTGAGAGGTACATCTGGTGACTGATGCCCCCAACTCAAGGAAATGTTTTGGCTGCTAAGCCCACTACTTTTGACAGCGCCAAGTGCCTGGCGCAGACTCTGATAGATCACGTGATCGATCTGGATGAGGTGACAGCAGCTCCGGAACCACAAAGGGAGAGTGGTGGGAAGAAGAAGAAATTATGGAACAAACAGGAGCCCTCCAAGAAACAGCAAACAGTGGCAGTCCACGCTGCTACTACTCCTGCTGCTGTTCCAACCACCCAAGCACCTACCAGTGGATATGTTGGTACTCTTCCAAAGTGCAACAAGTGCAACTTTCATCATCACGGGCCCTGCCGTGATTTGCAATGCAACAGCTGTGGAAGGAAGGGGCATACGGCTCGATACTACAAGGCAACAGTCCAACCAACCAACCAGGCTCCTGGGCCGGGCGCTGGTGAAGCCTGTTATGGCTGTGGAGAGGTTGGGCACTTCAAAAGAAATTTCCCCAGGGCAACAACAACTGGCAACACAGGGAGGGTGCTAGCTATGGGCCAGGAGGAAGTAGTCGCTGATCCTACCGTTGTTACGGGTACGTTTCTCCTTGACCACTCTTATGGATGCATTCTTTTCGATTCTGGTGCGGAGAGGAGTTTTGTGAGTCATGCATTCAAACATCTACTCAAATGTAAATCCCAACCCTTAACTGAAACATTCACCGTCGAGATGGCTAACGGAAAGAAAGGGAGTACTAACGACATATTCAAAGGCTGTACCCTTACCCTAGACGGTCATTCCTTCCCTATCGATCTTATGCCAGTGTCCATAAAGAGCTTCGATGTCATAATCGGCATGGATTGGTTGAGCCCCAATCGTGCTGATATCCTTTGTTTCGAGAAAGCTATTCGTTTCAATCTTCCCTCAGGCGAAGCCCTCACAATTTACGGTGATAAACTCAGTTCAAACCTCCGTTTCATTTCATGCATCAAAGCCCAGAAGTATCTGCGGAAGGAGTGCTATGCATTCCTAGCTCATGTTGTTGATGAAAAGCAAAAAGTTAAAGACCTCGAGAGCATCCCCGAAGTCTACAACTTTCCTGATGTCTTCCCCGAAGATCTCCCAGGGATTCCTCCTGAGCGCCAAGTCGAGTTTCGTATCGACTTCATCCCCGGAGCTACTCCTGTAGCTAAATCTCCATATCGTCTAGCGTCGACAGAAATGCAAGAGTTATTTAGCCAGCTCAATGAGCTGATCAGCAAAGGATTCATAAGACCGAGTTCCTCACCCTGGGGAGCCCCGATCTTATTCGTAAAGAAGAAAGATGGATCCTTTCGGATGTGCATTGACTACCGAGAGCTGAACAAGCTTACCATCAAAAACCGTTATCCCTTACCCATAATCGACGACCTCTTCGACCAACTTCAGGGAGTCAGTTATTTCTCGAAGATAGACCTTAGATTAGGGTACCATCAGTTACGAGTTCACGAGAATGACGTTCCGAAAACAGCATTCCGAACTCGTTACGGACACTACGAGTTTGTAGTAATGCCCTTCGGTCTAACCAACGCGCCGACAATATTTATGGACCTGATGAATCGGGTGTGTCGCCCTTTCCTGGACAAGTTCGTGATTGTATTCATTGACGATATACTTGTCTATTCCCGAAGCGAGTAAGATCATAGACAACATTTGAGGCTAGTGTTAGAAACACTAAGGGCGGAGAAACTTTATGCAAAGTTTTCAAAGTGCGAATTTTGGATCAGGAAGGTAACTTTCCTTGGTCACATGGTTAGCAAGGAAGGCATACACGTGGATCCTTCTAAGATAAAAGAGATTGATTCTAATGTTTCATTTTCTTTTAACTGATTTTGCAATAGGAATCGTAATGCTTATAAAAACTGAAATGAATTGATGAAAAATCATCTCATGAACTAATTCTTCTTCTTACATATAGCCATTAAAATAAATCACCTCCAAATAAATAAGACAGGAAGATTGATAATATTAACTAAATTATAATAACAATAAAGTTGTAATGTTTTAACGGTTTAGATGGTCCTTCATACACGCCCATCTTAAAACTAATTTGCTTCCTTTTCATAAAGGTTGAATGGGAGGATAAGGTTTCTGACGTTTAATTCCACTGCTAAAACATTTTTATTGACAACTTGGTTTTTAATTGTTTTAATATTTTATTCACATGGTTATTTTTACGTTTTTTAATTGTCTTAATATTTTATTCACATGTTTAGTTTTAGGTTTTGTAATTGTTTTAATATTTTATTCACATGGTCATTTTTATGTTTTGGAACATATCATAAAGATAAAACACATAAACACACAAGTCTGAATTTTTATTTTCTGTATTTTGAAAACAACAATATAAGACACTACATATTTTTATTATTTTTATGACTTCAAAAACATACTTTTCATCAATATAATCTTAAATTTATAATATTTTTAACACTTGACAAAAATTTACATAAATTCTATAGAAAATTAAAATTAGTATATTAAGTAATTGATAAAAATTGATTTCTTTAAGAAAGGCCATAGAGGAATATGAAAATAGTAGAAATAAGAATGTTTAGATAAGTCTGCGATAAATCTTGTTTGGATATAATTTTGAATTGAACTATAAGAAATTTGTTGAGGGTGGTGAGATAACCAAAAATTTGAGGGAAAGATCGAGGATTGAGGTGATATAGGCATGTCTAAAGAATGCTACAATCACCGATGGTTAGGATGGGTGAATAAGTGATCACTGATGGTAATAGAAGAAGAGGGCATCATAAAAAGAAGTGAGAAAATAATGTTCGCTACACATGGATGAACTTGTTTTTTTTCCTGAGAATATGATCTCAAATAGAAGGGCAATGAGGTTAAGCATTAAGGTTGATGACCTTTTCTTTTATGATCTATTTTGTTCATATATGCTTCCACATTTATATGTTTGTACTCTGTTTTATTGTTTATTTTTAGTTCTTTCACCGATTTACTCCTTATTGTTTTGTTTGCTTCATTTGCAGGTTATGAATCCATACGCTTGTATTGTGTTTTCCATGTTTTTTTTTTTTTTTTTGGTTATTGCTCATTATTACATATTTTTCTCTTGTTTCCCACATTGCAGGGATTGAGTTAACATATCTGGAGGTCATCTATACGTGATAGAATTGTTTTTCCCGCTATGGATGTATTCGACATCTACATCTCCCCTAACCCATTGCAGTGGAATTTTCATGGTCTGCTTTATAATTCCTATAAGAAAAACAAATGTTATAGTTGTAAACCAACTGAACTAACACAAACAAAGTCTTATTCATGCACATTAATTTAAACTTAACCGAAAAAACCAACAAACCTAAATAGGTACGAACGAATTATTTAGACAACTCTTAGATTTGGCATTTTTTTTAGTATTCACTGGATTGACTATCAATTATCTAATTATAAATTTTTTAATATGAATCACATTAACTAATCATATCTTCACGCACACCAATTATAAAATGAATTTTATAGATAATTCTAGTCAAAGTAATGTGAGCCCCATAAACTATGTGTAAAGTCTATACAATGACGATAACAAGCCCTTTACACCAAATACTTAAAGCTACTATAGAATTACCAAATGGACCTACTAGACAAAGTATAAAATCTGCTCTTGGTCTATTCAAACTTCCATTCATCCTCATTCATCACAACAAGCAATAACTCATCTTTCGCCTCAGAAAATGAACACTGCAATTCACATCACATGCAACACCACCATTGAAGGACGATTGTCTAACGTCTCCGAGTGTACATCTTCTTCTTCTTCTTCTTCAGTCTCCGAACAGGAAGACTTCACACAAATAAACAGCACCAGTGGACGCCGGAGCCGGAAATGGAGGAAGTTCATGAAGAAGGTGATTGAAGGAAGCAAGAAAAGCATCTACGGATCTTCCAAACCTTTGATATTTCAGTACGATGCTGTTAGTTACTCGTTAAATTTCGATGAAGGAAATCATTCCGATGAATACTATATGTATGCATCTCGATGCTCTCAAGTTTAATGCTTGAAAGCTTATTAGATCAACGAATAGGATAATCATGTACAGTGGAGTTAACGTGTTGGTAGTTTAAGTGAGTTTTATTTACTTATGTGAATCAATTTAGAGTTTATTGATATGGATCTGTAAACCAATGGACATTAAAGAAACTTACGCTATTGAGAGTTCAACCAAAACCATAGGTGTATAAAAGCATTACAAATTTATCGACATGTGTTTTATAAGTGTATATATGAAATGTAAAGATTATAAGTTCTACTCTGCTATTTATATGTTGTTTGAAATTTGAGATGAAACACCTTAACGTACTGTTTAGCGTTTCTTTCTCTAATGCTCCGTAAATACAAAATTATTAAATGAATTGAAATGATGAAAATAGACTTACGAAAACCTCTCTTTAATCTATAAACGTTTGAAAGATCCTTTTGGACCATGAATTACTTCGATACTAATGTCAATGTAATCCAATAAAAAAAATTCAACCACTTATAGATTCAATAAAAAATGATAAAATTAGATTAATGATCATGAAATATATAAAGATATTTTTGAAGGATGTGGATGAGAAAACATAGTTTCAAAGATAAATGTCGTTGTTTGATAAAATTGAACAATTTGGTGTCAAAGGGTTTAGAGAATGTCCGGTTCTTTAACTATTCATATACTTTTGATATTTTCATACGTGCTCAATAGTGACCGATTCCACTAAGAGTTTATCAAACAGTACTAAATGTATTGATATAAAATTTAATAAAAAATACATAAATGGTCCTTGTGTATTATAAAAATCACATGTCAATACCTAACTTTGTTTCTTGATGACCAAGATGGTCCATGTGGCTTTAACATTGTATGTGCTCGGTCCTTAATTAGAAAACAAAAATAGATAAACCTCACTCCTACCCCACCACAATCCGCAACAAAACCCTACATCCCTTATAACTACAAAACCCTAACTAAGTGGCCTCCGTCCTTTCATCGCATTGTCGTTCATCTTATGGCCACTTTTCTCTGCCATTTTCTTCCTTTTCGACATTGGGACCCCTCCCTTCTCCATCTACATCTCCTATATATGAGATACACAAACATATATATATATATATATATATATATATATATATATATATATAGGGAGAGGTTCAATAGAGAACCAATATGAGTGGAGGAACCAAGGAACCTATTAAGATGGTTGGATCAAAAAATTAAAAGTTATTGGATTTGAGATGTAAAAGTATGAAAAACAATAGTGTCCAGCTGATTATAACCAAACAGGTAACTTAAGGGGGCATTTTCGTCAACCTAAAACTTATTAACTCTTACTGTTAATTAACGACGTTAGTTCATCAGTTTCACATATCAGTGAAATCAATTTTACCCTCTCATTGAAAGCGATCTTTTACTTCACCGACGAACATCGATTTCTAACGAATCTCCGACGACGATTCAGTCAATATCCACAGTGAATCTTCCCGAAAAGTTCGTCAAAATGAATCTAAAAGGTATATTTGACTGCTATTCATTTCCGATTATCTCATTTAATGCATTTTCAACATTATATTTTTTCGATTGATAAATTTCAAAACGACAAATCTAAACTATCTGTTACATTATGTATTCGATGAATCTGTGAATACACTATTTTATTAACAAAATCGTTTTAGACTGATTTGAAACCCTTGGATGATGAACTTTTAATAATTTGTATACATAACGAAAACCTAATGATTTAAATTTCTTGAAATCGATACAGAAATCATGAATATCTATATTACAAACTGAAATTTCCTAAAACTTTGTGAATCTAACTCGAATATGAGTTTATTAAGTAAATCGAAACCCTAATTTCATGAATTTTTGAGAATTTGTATAATTACCAAAAACCTAATGATATAAATTTCTTCAAATCGATACAGAAATCATGAATATCTAAATTACAAACTGTAATTTCCTAAAAACTTTGTGAATCTAAGTGGTTTCTGAGTTTATTCATTAAACTGAAAAACTAATTTCACATTTTGAATTCACCGTGTGCTTTGTGATTTACATTTGATTATTTGAAAGGATTCAATGTTTCTGAGTATTACATTATTTGACAATTCACAAAGTGAATCATGATTATATATCAATTTAACATATCATTTATTCAAATTGTGAATTCACAGGGTGATTTATCATTTACATTTGATTTTTTCATCTTGTGAAAATTTATGATGCATCTATGTTTAATTGATATTGTATCTCTTAATGTGTTTCTCATTGTAAATTTATAAAAAGTTGCATTGATAATGTTTTGATTCAAACTGAATTCACAATGTGAATAAATATTATGTTAAATTCATTTGTAATCCTGATTCACATTGTGAAAAATATGAATAAATCATAACTTTCATACCATGAAATTGATGTTTGAACTAATTTGTTAATCAAAAACAGGAAATGAAGAAAAGAACAATGAAAAAAAGGATAATAAGAAAAGAATGAAATTGACAAGAAATCTAAAAGATGTTCTACCTTCAACTACAAGTGAAAAAATTGAAGATATTCAAGATAAAAATAAAGGTTAGAACATTCGCATTCAGATTAAAATAACTAGTTATCTAATCATATACTACACATTTATTAAATTTTTGTTTTTTTTTGCAAGTTGATCAACACTTTTGTTTGTATTCACTATGAACAAAATAGTTGTAAAAAGTCTCAATATGTGTATGTGTACATCACTTGGTGAACCTCAAACTCTTTTGTTGTTAAATGCATAAATTCACAATGTGAATCTTGGATGTATGTCTCACATTCACATAGATTGTGAATCTCTTAATTTTTTTTTTTTGCAAGTTGATCAACACTTTTGTTTGTATTCACTATGAACAAAATAGTTGTAAAAATTCACCATGTGTATGTGTACATCACTTGGTGAACCTCAAACTGTTTTGCTGTTAAATGCATAAATTCACAATGTGAATCTTGGATGTATGTCTCACATTCACATAGATTCACAATGTGAATCTCTTAAAAAAATATATTTTTTTTGCAAGTTGATCAACACTTTTGTTTGTATTCACTATGAACAAAATAGTCGTAAAAACTCACCATGTGTATGTGTACATCACTTTGTGAACCTCAAATTCTTTTGTTGTTAAATGCATAAATTCACAATGTGAATCTTGGATCCATGTCTCACATTCACACAGATTCACAATGTGAATCTCTTTAAATTTCTTTTTTTGCAAGTAGATCAACGCTTTTATTTGTATTCACTATGAACAAAATAGTTGTAAAAATTCTCAATATGTGTATGTGTACATCACTTGGTGAACCTCAAACTCTTTTGCTGTTAAATGCATAAATTCACAATGTGAATCTTGGATGTATGTCTCACATTCACATAGATTCACAATGTGAATCTTTTATTTATTATTTTTTTTTGCAAGTTGATCAACACTTTTGTTTGTATTCACTATGAACAAAATACTTGTAAAAATTCTCAATATGTGTATGTGTACATCACTTGGTGAACCTCAAACTCTTTTGCTGTTAAATGCATAAATTCACAATGTGAAACTTGGATGTATGTCTCACATTCACATAGATTCACAATGTGAATCTCTTAATTTTTTTTTTTTGCAAGTTGATCAACACTTTTGTTTGTATTCACTATGAACAAAATAGTTGTAAAAATTCTCAATATGTGTATGTGTACATCACTTGGTGAACCTCAAACTCTTTTGTTGTTAAATGCATAAATTCACAATGTGAAACTTGGATGTATGTCTCACATTCAGATAGATTCACAATGTGAATCTCTTAAATTTTTTTTTTTTGCAAGTTGATCAACACTTTTGTTTGTGTTCACCATGAACAAAATAGTTGTAAAAATTCTCAATATGTATGTGTACATCACTTGGTGAACCTCAAACTTGTTTGCAGTTAAATGCATAAATTCACAATATGAATCTTGGATCTATGTCTCACATTCACACAGATTCACAATATGAATCTCTTCATTTTTTTTTTTTTTACAAGTTGATCAACACTTTAGTTTGTATTCACTATGAACAAAATAGTTGTAAAAATTCTCAATATGTGTATGTGTACATCACTTGGTGAACCTCAAACTCTTTTGCTGTTAAATGCATAAATTCACAATGTGAATCTTGGATGTATGTCTCACATTGACACAGATTCACAATGTGAATCTCTTAAAAAAAAAATTTTTTTGCAAGTTGATCAACACTTTTGTTTGTATTCACTATGAACAAAATAGTTGTAAAAATTCACCATGTGTATGTGTACATCACTTGGTGAACCTCAAACTGTTTTGCTGTTAAATGCATAAATTCACAATGTGAATTTCTAAAAAGTTTTTGCAATTTGATCATCACATGTTCAATTTTATATTGTTTAACATGTATTTCGTAATACTATTTATATTTTTGACATTGATATTAAAAATTTCACATTGTGTAGTTGAAGGTTCAAAAAAATATACCAAAAACACAGCAAGGAGAACCGTGGTGGAAATAGTTAATAAATTAAGAAAAAATGAAGATGAAAAGACTATTGATGAAAATGTTGAAAAAGAAAAAAGTTTAGAAGGTGATGAGATTCAAAAAAAGCAAACAAAAAAATTGATGAAGCAAGATGAATATGTTTTGAAGACACTTGAAAAGAAAACAACACAAGGTTAGTATTTATAAAATTATAATTTACTTTAATATATAAAATCAGTTATCTTTAATTTTTTTTTAATGAACAAAAATCATACGGAGTCCAAGATTACAAAAAACAAAAAAGAAAAAGTCGATGAAGCAAGACAAATCTGTTTTCAAGACACCTGAAAAGAAAACAACTCAAGGTTAGTATTTATAAAATTATAATTGAATTTGATATTATAAAATTAATTCTTATTAATTTTGTTAAAACATGAACAGAAATCAGACAGAGTCCAAGACTTAAAATGATTGAATACAAAAAATATGTGACTCCTATTAAAGTTGATGATAGCCTTGTAAAGAAAGAATCTGATGAAAAAGTAACAGGTTTGTTTATTACTATTCACATGTTTAATTTACAAAGTTATAAACAAATTCACATGTTTATTTTATGTATTATATTATATTTTGCAAAACAAATTCACATGTGAATTTCTTGTATTGTTAGTTATTTTATAGTATATATGTTATATTATGAGAAGCTTATGAAAATTATTGACTAACAGGAAAAAGAAAAAGAAAAACAAAGACTTTCGAAGTAGTCAAAGAAAAAAAGGAAAAAGTGCCAATAAATCCAAATGACAGAGTATCTTTGAGAACAAGAATGAGCCCAAAGAAGTTTTATGATATTGTTAAATCTTTAAACAAAGAACAGAAAAAAGCTGTTAGAGAAATGGGATTGGGATCTTTGCTGAGAATTGCAACCAATGGAATTTCTGGGAAATTGGCACGTTTTGTTGTGAATTCATTCAATCCATCAGATATGAAAATCCATCTACCTAATGCGAAGATAGACATAACACCAGAACTTGTTCATGATTTGCTTGGAATTCCTCTAGGTGGAAAAGATATATATAACACTGATCAATGTGAAGGAAAAGAATTAATGGATTGGAAGCAACAGTACAATTTCAAGGCTATGAGACCATCAGATGTTGAAGAGAGAATTAAAGAATCATCAGATTCAGGGATTATTTTCAGAACAAACTTTTTATTACTGTTTGTTAATACCATCTGTGAACAGAATAAGCCTGGAACTTGTAAGACAACAGTATTGCCACATTTGTTAGGCAAAACACCTATGAGAGAAATTGACTGGTGTGGTTTTATAACCAATTGCTTGAAAATGTCAAAGATGACGTGGGATGAAACCGATAGAGGAAACTACTATTGTGGGCCACTTCTTGTATTATTGGTAAGGAAAATTCTTATAATTAACACTTTTATTTATATTATTATAAGAAAACTAATTAATCATAATTTTGTTTACATAAACAGTTAGCTTATTTGGAGTTTATGAGGAATGATAAGAATGAAAAAAGACAAATACATGCACTACATTTTTGGGATTATGAAATGATGGTGAAAAAGGAAAAAGCTGAGTTAAAGAGTGGTGACTTTGGAACTTTGGAATGGAATGATGATGTTATAGAGAATGATGAAGAATCCGACACCGATGAAAATGAAGATATGAAACTCGATGTAAGTTAATAATCTATATATTTAAAAAAAATTGAAGTTATATTACAGATATATGTTATAAAATTGTAGTTAAGATGAAATTCATAAAGTGGTTCACATTGTGAATATAAAAGTGTATTTTATTACTTTCTCTATAATAAATTCACAAAGTGAATATGTAATTTATTAAAATGCATTAAAAATGTGATACCTCATCAATGCATTCATATTCTGGAACTGTAATTTATTATAGAAGAAAGTTAAAAAAATTCATTTTTATTGACATTTTTTATCTCATTTCGCAGGAATTGGTATTCAAAGCGAAAAAGAATTACAAAAAACTAGTGAATGATAAACTGAAGTTTGGAAAGTTAATTGAGTTTTCAACAACAAAATTCACAGAAAGCGATGAGTTGAAAGATATGAAGAAAGTCTTTGAACAAGAATTCATTTATAAAACTCAAAATGAAGATGAAGAAAAAAGCGATGAGAATTTGAATGAACATGAAATAAAGAATCAACCAATCATGGTAACACCAGGAAATTTGTACAATGATCCAATAGTGCATGAGATTGCTGATTCTATTCAATGTATTTTAAATTTTGATGATTATGATGATTTTGAAAATGTAAAAAGTTTTAGAGAACAAAAAAATAAAAAACAATAATAGATGATAAAAAAAATAAAAAAAAATAGAAAATCATCAATGCCTAGTTTTTCACTTGGACTTGGTCTTGGTCTAACACAAGAGTTTCAGGAAGGAGATGAAAGCAGTGAAGATGAACACATGAAGAAAGAAATAAAAAATGAAAAACTTGATGAAGGAGAAAGTTATGATTCAGAAGAAACAGAATGTGACAATAATATCTTGGGAATTGAAGATGATGAAGACAAAAAAAGAGAAGTAGGAAAAAGATTAAAAAAACCATCACTGAAGCTATCTTCTCCTTATAATAAAAAAGAGGTTTGTGCATCAAAATTTGTAGATCCAGATGAAGTAAAAGTATCAGATAGAATTTTTTCCAGAATTGGTAATAGCAGGTAATAATTCATGTTATCTTTTATTTAAATACAATAGTATATAAATACAAATACAAATTAATTTTCTATTAACTGCTTTTTTGTTTTATTTGATTACAAATTAAGTGAGAAGGTATTTCAGACTAAGAGAGGTTATGTGCTTGGAAGAGGAATGATTGAAACAATGCAGGCAGGATTATGGGTACATGCACATGTCATTGATGCTTGGACTGATATTTTGAACTATGAAGAAAAGCTTAAATCAAATTCTACAGTGAATCGGTATTTCTTTGATACATCAATGGTGGTAAGTTAATGTTGATAATATAATAAATAAAATTTTCAATAGTTCTGAATAAGTAACAAAATAGTTGTAAAAATTCACCATGTGTATGTGTACATCACTTGGTGAACCTCAAACTCTTTTGCTGTTAAATGCATAAATTCACAATGTGAATCTTGGATCCATGTCTCACATTCACACAGATTCACAATGTGAATCTCTTAATTTTTTTTTTTGCAAGTTGATCAACACTTTTGTTTGTATTCACTATGAACAAAATAGTTGTAAAAATTCTCAATATGTGTATGTGTACATCACTTGGTGAACCTCAAACTCTTTTGCTGTTAAATGCATAAATTCACAATATGAATCTTGGATCTATGTCTCACAATCACACAGATTCACAATGTGAATCTCTTAAATTTTTTTTTTTTTGCAAGTTGATCAACACTTTTGTTTGTATTCACTATGAACAAAATAGTTGTAAAAATTCTCAATATGTGTATGTGTACATCACTTGGTGAACCTCAAACTCTTTTGTTGTTAAATGCATAAATTCACAATGTGAATCTTGGATGTATGTCTCACATTCACACAGATTCACAATGTGAATCTCTTAATTTTTTTTTGCAGAAAATAAAATTCACACAGTGAATCCCATTATAATTCACAGTGTGAATAATTTTAAATTTAAAATTTACCTTATTGTGAATTTAACAATTTACTCTTTAAAATTTGATGTATATTTAATTTTTTTTGCAGAGACAGTTCATATTTGACAAATATATCCCTTTCAATGAAAGATTTGATAAATTTGAGTCAAATATCAAAGATGCAATGAAAAAGGACAAAGAACTTCTGACATTTGAAAAAGTTCACTTGGTAATAAATTGTTCTTTTTGTTGAATATATTACATATTTTAAACAAAGTTTAACATTTTAAATTATTAAACAGGTGTTTTTCCCAGTTCATCAAAAAAATCACTTTTACATAATCTGCATAAACTTAGAGGAACCAGTGGTTGATGTCATTACAATAGGAATTCAGTTGCAAAGTTTCCTAGAGCTTATCGTGATGCACCTAATGAATTGGTAAGAATAATAAATTTACATTATAAATATAAGTATTAATATACTAATAATCTAAATAAAATAATAATTATAGAAAATGACAATTTCTTTTTTGCAGAAAATACTTTTTAGTAGGTACTTGATGAGGGTCAATCACAAATCAGCTTCAACTTTGGAGGGTGTTGAACCAGAAAGGGTGAACATGAATTGGCGCACGAGGGATAATCATGTTGACTGTGGAGTTTTTTGCATGCGTCATATGGAGATATATATGGGAGATAAAACAGTAAATTGGAGATGTGGTTTGCCAAAAGAATCAAAACAACAACAAAGTGTGTTAAACGAGTTACGCATTAAGTATTTGACAAAGATACTAATGAGTGACACAAACACATACAGGTCAAAAATCATTGCACAAACAGCTAAGTTTGCAAAAAAGACTAATCAAGAAATAAAAGATTTGCTTGACAAGGGATGGGAGAAAAGGGGAGAAAGGATATAGTACTTCATGGATTGGAAAAAGAAGTGTAAAACTTAAAACTTAGTTTTCTATTCATAATTAGTATAAGTTTAGATGCACTTTAATTTCTTTAAGAACATATACATGCTTGTTATGTTACAAATTGATGTTAGTTTCTATATCAAATATAATGAACTTTACTAAATACTCAAAAGATGTTTATATTTTCATGTGAATGTCTACATGTATGTTATACAATTACATGTTTTATTAAAAATATGAAATTTTACATTGTTTATATGTTAACCTTGTGAAAATTTAATATGTCAGATTCACAATGTGAATTACAGTACATATTATAACATGTATATTTTATATGTGAGGTTAACAATTGTAATTATGGTACATATAGATCATTAGAACAATTAATAATTGAGATTCACAATGTGAATTAAATTACATTAAGACAATCTTTAACATGAAAATTTTATATATGAGATTAACAATAATATACATAAATTAAATCATTAGCATGAAATTTTTATTAGAAAATATTCAAAAAACTAACAATAAAAAATATCTTTAACCAAAAACACTAAATTTGAAAAAAATATATTCTATTATTAGAAATAAAGTCTAAAACAATGAATATCAAAATTAACAACAATATTTCAACATTTCTAACCATTGAATGATCATTACAAAAATCAAATCTTATTTTAGTAGTCTTAAAAAGAAAAAATTAGAAACAATCAGCCTTCTGTAACCTCAGATTCTAAATCAGACTTCTTTAACCTCAAAATGCAACTCCTAGCATTGTGATTTGGTTTATGACATAAACTGCACAACCTAGAACCCTTTTTAGATTTCTCAATCACTTTCTCTCTAGTGCTCTTGATTCTTTTACCACTGGCCCATCCCTTGTTTCTGATCCCCTCTGGATTATGAAAGTTGATAACATCAGGTACTGCAGCTCCAATAATTTTTTCAATGTGAACTGATCTATTCGAAGATGCCCTTGATGAGGTACATAAAGGAATACCACTATCAACCTCCTGAGGTTGCTTTATATATTTAGCCAACTCATCCTCATTATTTGCTATCTTGTTAATGGACAAACGAAGAATAGCATACGCATCTTGAATCAAACATTCATTTTTACTGCCTTTATGAGGATATGAGTACTTTTTTTTCTCAACAATCCATCAGCTATGATATCTTTTCCCCATCTCCTCAAAATGAATTTTGATGGAATTTCATCATACTCTTTCATATTTAATATGAAAAACATATGACGACATAACAATCCTTCCTGGACAAAAAGCATGCAGCTACAACTGATGCTAATGCTATCACCCCTTCTACTAAATACAACCTACAAAAATTATCATTAATAAACAAATTAATATGTGAATAAGAAATTCTATCTCATACCATTCGATAAAAATTATACAAATTAACATCGATTCACATTATTAATCAACAGGTCATTAGAAATCATAATACTATAATATAAATATGTACTTCAAATCAAATTCACAAAAAAAAATACATATTTCATACTATTCTAAACATTTATAACTCTATAAAAATTCACACTTTGAATTAGCAAAACATCCTACATTCACAGCGTGAATTTTTAAACTACATTTTATATTTAATAAACTGTATTAGGACAAATAGACATACCTTGTAATGAGTATTAGGACAATGAGAAGGAAGACTATTTCGATAAAAATGATCAGAATCTTCATCCTCATTCACATTTTTATCAATCAACTTTTTTTTCTTCTTATCTCTCAAAACATAAACTTCGCTTTCATCTTCAATAACTACAGATTCTTGAACACAATAAAACACAGATTTGTATAACTCTTTCTGAATGTCCAAGAAAATATTATGTGTATAAATTTTCGATGCATGCTTTTCAATAGCCAAAGGAGTCCTTAGCTTGGGGGTAGTAGTTGTGGACTGATAATCTAATAAAGATTGATGATGCCTTTGCTTCTCCATTGCACTATCAAACGACATCATGAACTTCACCAAATTTGATTTATGATGCAAAAAATGTGAGAAAGCATAATTCAGAATCTCTGATCTTGAAGTAGTTCGCATCAAACCAGAAAGTTCAAGATCTCTCATAAAAGCCGGAATCCATAAATCCCTTATTTTAAAAATAGACCTTAACCAATCATTTTCTTTTAGATGAAACTTATCTAACATTGTTGACCACGAACTTTCAAAATCTTGTGGAGAACATTGAAGATTCCATATAATATCAAAAAAAAGTCTTCTGGAAGTCCGGATGGTTATAAACATCAATAGGAATCTAAAAAAAAGAAACACATAATAATCATTACATATGTTGAATATTTGATGTAATTCATAGTAACATAACATTTTTTTTAACATTATGAATTCACAGTGTGATTTATGATTTAGATTTGTTCCTTTCATTATATGCAAATTTACATTGTGAATTCACAATGTGCTTTATGATCTATATGGTTATAAACATATATCGGAATCAAGAAACAAAGAATATACATTTTCCTCAAGTTTTTGAGTGATGTGCCACATGCATAGTCTATGGTTCGATTCAGGAAAAACAAAATTAACAGCTTTCTTCATTGATGAATCCTGATCTGTTACAATCATCATGGATGGCTTGACAAATGCTTTACGAAACACTTCAAGCAACCACACATATGCATATGCTGTCTCACGAGCTAGTAAACCAGCAGCAAAAGTAACACAACGCTTGTGGTAGTCAACTCCAGTAAAAAGAACAAATACCATAGAATACCTGAATTTTTTTTGATAAGTATTATTAAAAAGAACAAATACCATAAAAAGAACAAATAAGGATTAGGAATTACTTGTTTGTCTGATAAGTAGCATCAAAAGATACTACATCTCCAAATTCCTTATAGTTACCTTTCGAAGTATCATCAGCCCAAAAAAGTCCAGTAAGATGATCATCAACATCTTTTTGGACCTCAAATGAAAAATTAGAGAAACACAATTTTCTGTTTGTCAATATATCCACAACCATTTGGGAATCTTTGACACCAATTTTAGAATTCAAATATCTATGAAAATTTTTAAAGTCAACTGCAGTACCTCCACTAGAATCAAAGCCACCCTTCATAATACTCACCAAGTTACAAGCTTTTGAAGCACCAATGTTACAAGTACTAACCTTATGTATAAAGGATTCATCAAGAAAATCCATTGTCCTATTAATCCTTAATAAGTGCAACTGATCTTGAGCAACAAGTTCATGGTTGTGATCTTCAACAAACACATAAATGTAGAACATTAAAGAACATCAGAGATTCTTGAACTTTGAAACAGCAGGGCATCCGTTCTTCTTAGAAGAAGTTCTCCTTCCCTTAACATCTGAAAATTTCACATTAATATTTTCATTCTTAAATGACTCCATGAAACCAGATCTACTACATGTCGAATATCTAATACGGATTGTGCCATCATTGTATCTTTTTTGACTTGACATATTCACATCAAAACCAGATTCTTTACCATAAGTCTTGTAAAAGTCAAGACCAATGTCCAACGAATCAAACAACAATCCTTTGAAAGGCTTCTTATGTATCAACTTATCATAAGGAACAAGCTTAAAAGTTTCAGTATTGTAGAGCTCAAAATCAAAACTATAACAAGAATTACTGCTATTTGAATGATCAATATTCATACTTGAAGATGATGGATCATGAACTACAAACCAAACAAAACATCTATTTTATTACATTATATATAAAAAGTGAAATTTATATTAAGAAAAAAAAACTTATGTGATTGTTCATTAATAGTTGAATGCAAATCTGAACAAGAATTCACAGAACTCATAATGAATCGTCGATGACCTGGAGTTTATATACAGATTAGAAATTTAGAATTGATAATTATACAAAAAAGGAAACAAATAAACAAGATAATCACAAAAATTTTAAATATATGCACAAGATAAGATAAGATTCTCAAAATCACTAACAGTTTGGAAAAAACTTAAATGTCAGAAGATGCATAAGATATAATCGATTATCTAAATGTCGAATATGCATTACAGACGAATGATTACAAAAACGATCGAATGAAAAACAGTATACTCAACATATGACATAAAATTAGCAAATTAACAATAAAAACATAACAATTTGAAAATTAAACGGTAAAGTCAAGAGAATTTTACAATCAGACGATTACAATAACAATGCATCGGAAGAAAAACGGTAAAATCAAAGTCCATAATTGACCTAATAATCATAAACGAAAGATAATACCTGATTATTAGCTGAAATCTGAAGAAAGTATTAGTAAATTGGATGAAAAAGGTTGAGATTTCGAACAACAAGCGAGATTTTGGATCGATCAGTGTAGTGTTAGAAGATGAAGAACAGTAACAGAAGACGCTGAAATCAGAAGACGTAAACGGAGACAAACAGGATGTTAAATGAGACGTTGAACTTACCAAAATCCCCTCCGTGTTTTTTTTGGTTAATTATGGATTAATAGCCAAGATTAAAACAAAATAGATGGTTAAGATGGGTTCCTTGGTTCTTTGATTCATATTGGTTCTCTATTGAACTTTTCTCTCTCTCTCTCTCTCTCTATATATATATATATATATATATATATATATATATATATATATGTATATATATATATATGTATATATATATATATATATATATATATATATATATATATATGTATATATATATATATATATATATATATCTATATATATATATATATATATATTCTTAATAAAAGACTCCATAAACCGCCACATGTCACCCTTGTAATCTACCATCTTGCAACGTGTCACTACCACAACTATGTCATGCCAGCTTTTTCGGCCCATTCCTTGCAGTCAAAACTCGACATCAACTACTACTAATCAGCAAATCAGTTTTAATGCTCCAATATTACCTTGAAAGTCCCAAACCCTTTGCAGATTCTTAGATCAGATACAAAGAAGAAAGAACAATAGAAGAACAAAAGATTATCACAATGATGGTTTTCACTAAGAAAGGTTCTCACAAAGAGAACAGGTGCACAAAGAAAATGGCACAAAGCCTTCACAAAGACCTAATTAGGGTTATACCCTAATACAAGATTATATACTAAACTATTCTAGAGTATCCCTTCAATCAAGGGATTGATTCTAATCTATTCTGATATGTAAACAAATTTGGTATATAAGGAATGGATCAAATTATATCTTCAGAATACTTCTTCACCAAATAGATCTGATCTGCTCCATATTCGGATATCAGCACCAACACTTTAGACGCTAATCATAGCATCAACATCAACGTCAGAGAGATCAGCTTCAGCTTCAGCGTCAGTTGCAGCTTCAGTTGAGTATAACCATCAGTGTGTGTTATCATTGTTTCACCTGATCAGTGTGTCATCTGTGTAAGACCTTCAACGTATGGACATACTAATAAGGTTTTCACTAATAAAGGTTCTCAGAAAGAGAACATGCGCACAAAGCAAATGGCACAAAGCCGTCACAAAGACCTAATTAGGGTTTTACCCTAATACAAGATTATATACTAAACTATTCTAGAGAATCCTTTCAATCAAGGGATTGATTCTAATCTATTATGATATGTAAACTAATTTGATATATAAGGAATGGAACATATTATATATTTATAATACTTCTTCACCAACTAGATATGATCTGCTCCATATTCGGATATCAGCACCAGCACTTCAGACACTGATCATATCATCAACATCAGCGTCGGGAGATCACTTCAGCTTCAGCTTCAGTTGAGTATAACCATCAGTGTGTGCATCAGTGTTTCACCTGATCAGTGTGTGATCAGTGTAATACCTCCAACATATGGACACACTGATAAGGTCTTCATTGAATGCTCTTCGTGTTGATAATACTTCCAGTGCCTCTTGCTCATCAGAGTATGATCTTTAGTCTTCGACGTATGAACTACCCTCAACATATCTTCATATTAAATAACTAAACAAACTCTGAAAAAATAGCTTATCTAAGTGTATTATTTACACTTGCTTAGACAAGAATGACTGTCTACAATGAGAGAATACCAATTTTTCACGGCCAGAAAAGACCGATTTTTTTATGCTTTGTTTAAAAATCAGAGTAACATTTTAAATAAAAGTGTTGCGGAATTTGTTCCCAAAATAAAATATGATAAAGATTTATCAAACTATTTCCCGTAGAAATGTATTTCATTAAAAACCCTCGGGATGTCATGTTCGATACAGATCAAAAGCATAAACAATACAATATAAGCCTTACTACATTTATTCATATCTACAGGCCTATATCCGTAATCCCTCATCAAAAACATCACATCTATGCTCGAGCGCCACTACCTGTAATACATGAAACTGAGTGGGTCAGGCTTGGGAGCCTGGTGAGCACATAGGGTTTTCAACCCACATTAAATAAGTTATTTAATTTCATCAACCAACAATAACCCGATTACCCGTTCCCGTTATCCTCACTTTACGTCCCTAAACACCTATCATAAGGGACCTAGTCTAAGGATCATCATCGGGATGGACACTACTGCTAAGGGGATTCCTCAGCAATAAATGTCCTTAAGACAACCATGAGGGGGATGGAGTACACCGGTGAACACATCGTTCACAAACACCTACAAGTTGCGAGCCTGCTAGCGTTCCACTGGACTGTCTAGAAGAGTCTGTGGTCGTCATCCATACTCCGCTAGATGACAGAATCAACAAAAACAACATCGAGGCCTCTCATCATTTTATCACACATCTTCTATTATATCTACCCATGTTTTACCCCAACATTTTTGTAGATATAAAATACATATACAGTTTAAATCATTTAAAACATGTATAAAAATCTTTCATCAGCATAGACAACAAGTATTCAGACAATATGCACACATAGCATGTAGTTTATATTAAATACTTCATATCTATGTAAGATGAAAGTGACTATGCACTCACATGAAAGGTGGTGATTCCGAACTCAGACAGCGCTTCGCTTCTTAAAAATAATTTCCTTCGACGAAACCTACTATTATTACCACTAGATTTTCGTCTAATATCTACCGTAACTAATTATTAGTCTTATTATTATTATTATTATATAAACGTTTAAACAATATTTTTCAACCACTATGTACAAACAGGGGCCATCCATAAAACATCGGAGGGCAGGACCATTTTGG